TATGAGTGCCTTGGCTCGAGAGATAGTAGGATCTTTGGGTATTCTCAGAGCAGGGAATCAGGATCAGGCCCACGTAGCTGAGGCAGGGCCTTCCTTCTTGAAAAGGGAATTCTTCTGGTCCAATCCGGACGAGTTTGTTGGGGATCCAAAGGAGCCACTTAAGGCTGACGAGTGGTTGGAACAGATGGAAAAGACGTTCGAGATGCTTGGCATCGAGGACAGGGCTTTAAAGGTGACCTTGGCATCCTTCCAACTGAAGGGAGATGCGGGTCAATGGTGGAAGTACGAGAAGGGCAGTGTTGGTGGTGCATGGGAGGAGTTTGTGAATGTTTTCCAGGAGAAATTTTTATCTTCAGCTGCTAGGGAGAAGCTGAGGGAGCAGTTTTGCCAGCTTAAACAGCAGGGCTTGTCAGTGGCCGAGTTTGAGGCTACTTTTACTAGTCTGTCTAGGTTTGCACCTGAACTTGTGGCGTCCGAGGAACGCCGTTGCTTTGAGTTTGAGCGGAAGTTGAGGCGTGGACTCAAGCTGAGAGTTGGAGGGTCCTTTATCCGAGAGTACAGACGTTTGGTTGATGCTGCAGCTCATATGGAGATTATGATGCAGGAGGAGGATGAAGGGTAGAGAGGCTCCAAGAGGAGCCAAGATGGTCAGGGTGACGGCAGGAGACAGAGGGGTTCTAACCCTCAGCAGTCTCAGGGTGGTTTGGCTAGATCGACCTTTCCAGTGCCGAGTGCGGGCTCTGGAAAAGGTAGTCAGGGAGGCTTGACTTGTTTTACGTGTGGCCAGCTGGGTCACAAGTCTTCGGTTTGCCCGCAGAAGGGAGGGGGTCAGCGAGCTGCTTCTTCTTCAGCTAGACCTCAGGGCCAGAGTCAGGGCAGAGGCCAGCCTTTGTCTTGCTATCAGTGTGGTCAGCCTGGGCACCTGAAGAGGTATTGCCCACAGTTGAGTGCCACTTCAGGAGCGTCTGGTTCTAGGCAGACGCAGAGTTATCAGCCAACTCAGTTTGTGCAGGCCTCGAGGGCCAATCCGGGAGCTTCGTCATCCCAGTCAGTGCAGCAGTCTTTTGCTCCTAGAGGTGAGCAGGTGGATCAGGGACCTATAGGGCGCGTGTATGCTGTTACCGCGCAGGACTTAGTACCGGCTCCATCAGTAGTGAGAGGTACCTTTTGGTTTTGCAACTTGGTTGCTAGTGTATTGATTGATACGGGTGCATCTCATTCTTTTGTATCTGCTGCATTCGCATCTATGTTGGAGTTGGAGTTGGCACTGTTAACATCTCCTATTTGTGTTGTATCACCTGTTGGGGGTGAATTGATTTTGAAACACGGATGTAGAGGTTGTGATATAGAGGTTGCCGACCATAAGCTTCATTTTCCTTTTGTTGTCATACCCATGAAGGGTTTTGATGTTATTTTGAGTATGGACTGGCTATCATCATACTGGGCTGTTATTGATTGCTACCGCCAGAGGGTCACAGTATGTACCTTGAGTGGGAAGTGTTTCCATTTCTTGGGGGATCGGGTTGGTAGTGTGTTGCCACCGATGTATGATCTGCGATGATGGAATAAGCTTAGTGGCCTACTTGCTAGCTTTATGAGTGGTGAGTGTGATGAGACCCAGATTGTATTGCCGAGGGTGGTTTGCGAGTATTCGGATGTTTTTCCCGAGGATCTCGTCAGTTTGCCACCTTACCGAGAGATAGAGTTCTCTATTGATCTAGTGCCCGGCATAGCGCCGATTTCTATGGCACCTTATCGTTTTGCCCCAGCCGAGTTGAGTGAGTTGAAGATTCAACTCCAGGAATTGCTAGATAAGGGTTTTGTTCGCCCTAGTGTTTCACCGTAGGGAGCACCGGCCCTCTTTGTTAAAAAGAAAGATAGTGCCTTGAGATTGTGTATTAACTATCGAAAGTTGAATCGGGCTGCAATTAAGAATAAGTACCCTATGCCCCGTATAAATAATTTGTTTGACCAGTTGAAGGGCTCCCATTGTTTCTCTAAGATAGACTTGAGATCGGGTTACCACCAGTTGAGGGTCAGGGAGGAGGATATTCCTAAAACGACATTCCGTACGCGGTATGGCCATTATGAGTTTCTGGTGATGCCATTCGGGCTTACCAATGCACCGGCAGAGTGGTTTCTTGAAGGAGCGGTTTTAGAAAGAGAAAATGACATTCATGTGTTCTTCAAGAAAGTCATGTTTTGATCCGAAAGCTTTT